CGTTGTCCGTAGACACCTCCAAGGTCATGTGGCCGGCATGACTGCATGGAGCGCCGTTACCTTCCCGCCGGAGCGGTACCTATTGATCTACTCACATTTGCATGTTTTCGAACTGCTAGGTTGACAGAAGCTAGGGCTGACAGCGGAAGCTCACGCCGCTCCCCGGAATCGAACCTGCGACCTTTCGATCAACAAGCTCAGCAGCTCAGTGCTTTAATCCACTGCGCCACCGGGGGCTCCTCCAATGAGCTTTAGTCGGGCTTTCTTTCCTGGAGGATGGACTGGTTGGATCTTCTCGCAGTCCAAGGCACTCTCAGCACTTTCCTCCAACACCACAGCTCAAAAGCATCTCTCTTCCTTCGCTCAGCCTTCCCGAAGGTCCAGCTCTCACATCCGTAGGTGACTACAGGGAAGACCATGGCTTGGACTAGGCAATGGATCTTGGTTGCCAGTCTGATGTCTCTACTCTTGACTATTTTGTCGAGACTGGACATTGCTCTCCTCCCAAGAAGGAAGGAAGCGTCTCCTGATTTCCTGGCCACAAGAAATCACAGGGGAGATGGTAGCGGGGTACAAATAAAGGATTATTATTATTATTATTCTCCAGCAAAGGATCACCGCCTTGTCGGGGCGCTGGAGCTTGAGCACCTCAATGATGTCATGAGCGAAACCGTGAAGGGCCACCCAAGACGGGACGGTTGTGGCAGAGAGGTCAGACCAAGCGTGATCCCTGGGGAAGGCAATGGCAAACCACTCCAGTATCCTTGCCAAGAAAACTAAATGGACCAGTACAACCAGAGATATGTCGGTATGCCATTGGAAGATGGGACTCCCAGGTCGGAAGATGGCCAAAATGCTACTGGGGAGGAGCAGAGGAGAAGTTCAACTAGCCCCAGATGTGACGCAGCTAGCTCAAAGCCGAAAGGAAGGCTAGCGGCCGACGGTACTGGAGGTGAACGACGAATCCGATGATGCTCTAAAGATCAACAAACCATAGGAACCTGGAATGTAAGATCTATGAGCCAGGGCAAATTGGATGTTGTTATTGGTGAGATGTCAAGACTAAAGATAGACATTCTGGGGGTCAGCGAACTGAAATGGACTGGAATGGGCCACTTCACATCAGATGACCACCAGATCTACTACTGCGGACAAGAGGAACATCGAAGAAATGGAGTAGCCTTCATAATTAATAAGAAATTCGCTAAAGCGGTGCTTGGATACAACCCAAAAATGACAGAATGATCTCAATTCGAGTGCAAGGAAAGCCTTTCAACATTACAGTGATCCAAATATACGCCCCAACCACAGCTGCTGAAGAAGCAGAAGTAGATCAGTTCTATGAGGATCTGCAGGACCTACTGGATAATACACCAAAAAGAGACATTATTTTCATTACAGGAGACTGGAATGCCAAGGTGGGAAGTAAAATGACAACAGGGATCACAGGCAAGCATGGTCTGGGAGAACAAAATGAAGCGGGACGCAGGCTGATAGAATTTTGCCAGGAAAACTCGCTGTGTATAACGAATACTCTCTTCCAACAACCTAAAAGACGGCTTTTCACATGGACCTCACCAGACGGTCAACACCGAAATCAGATTGACTACATCCTTTGCAGCCAAAGGTGGCGGACATCCATCCAGTCGGTGAAAACAAGACCTGGGGCTGACTGTAGCTCAGATCACGAACTTCTTATTGCTCAATTTAGAATAAACTAAAGAGATCAGGGAAAATACACAGACCAGTTAGATATGATCTCACTAACATTCCTAGCGAATATACAGTGGAAGTGAAGAACAGATTTGAAGGACTAGATTTAGTAAACAGAGTCCCAGAAGAACTATGGACAGAAGTCCGAGACATTGTTCAGGAGGCGGCAACAAAGTACGTCCCAAAGAAAAAGAAAACCAAGAAGGCAAAATGGTTGTCTGCTGAGACACTGGAAGTAGCCCAAGAAAGGAGGAAAGCACAAGGAAACAGGGATAAGGGGAGATATGCCCAGTTAAATGCGCAATTCCAGAGGTTAGCCAGAAGAGATAAGGAACTATTTTTAAATAAGCAATGCATGGAAGTGGAAGAAGACAACAGAATAGGAAGGACAAGAGACCTCTTCCAGAAAATTAGAAACATTGGAGGTAAATTTCAGGCAAAAATTGGGATGATAAGAAACAAAGATGGCAGGGACCTAACAGAAGCTGAAGAGATCAAGAGAAGGTGGCGAGACTATACAGAAGATCTGTATAGGAAGGATAATAATATTGAGGATAGTTTTGACGGTGTGGTGAATGAATTAGAACCAGACATCCTGAGGAGTGAGGTTGAATGGGCCTTAAGAAGCATTGCTAACAACAAGGCAGCAGGAGACGACGGGATCCCAGCTGAACTGTTTAAAATCTTAAAAGATGATGCTGTCAAGGTGATGCATGCCATTTGCCAGCAAATATGGAAAACACAAGAATGGCCATCAGACTGGAAAAAATCAACTTATATCCCCATACAAAAAAAGGGAAATGCGAAAGACTGCTCAAACTTCCGTACAGTGGCCCTTATTTCTCATGCCAGTAAGGTAATGCTCAAGATCCTGCAAGGAAGACTCCAGCAATACATGGAGCGAGAGTTGCCAGATGTTCAAGCTGGGTTTAGAAAAGGCAGAGGAACAAGAGACCAAATTGCCAATATCCGCTGGATAATGGAGAAAGGCAGGGAGTTTCAGAAAAACATCTATTTCTGTTCTATTGACTATTCTAAAGCCTTTGACTGTGTGGATCATAATAAATTGTGGCAAGTTCTTAGTGGGATGGGCATCCCAAGCCACCTTGTCTCTCTCCTGAGGAATCTGTACAAGGACCAAGTAGCAACAGTCAGAACCTTTTTAACTTGTATGCAGAACACATCATGGGCTGGATGAATGCAAAGCTGGGGTGAAAATTGCTGGAAGAAACATTAACAACCTCAGATATGCAGATGACACCACTGATGGCCGAAAGCGAGGAGGAGCTGAGGAGCCTTCTAATCAAGGTGAAAGAAGAAAGCGCAAAAGCCGGGTTGCAGCCAAACGTCAAAAAAACCAAGATTATGGCAACAAGAATGATTGACAACTGGAAAATAGAGGGAGAAACCGTGGAGGCCGTGACAGACTTTGTATTTCTAGGTGCAAAGATTACTGCAAATGCAGACTGTGGCCAGGAAATCAGAAGACGCTTACTTCTTGGGAGGAGAGCAATGTCCAATCTCGATAAAATAGTAAAGAGTAGAGACATCAGACTGGCAACAAAGATCCGCCTAGTCCAAGCCATGGTCTTCCCTGTAGTCACCTACGGATGTGAGAGCTGGACCTTAGGGAAGGCTGAGCGAAGGAAGAGAGATGCTTTTGAGCTGTGGTGTTGGAGGAAAGTTCTGAGAGTGCCTTGGACTGCGAGAAGATCCAACCAGTCCATCCTCCAGGAAAGAAAGCCCGGCTGCTCACTGGAGGGAAAGATACTAGAGACAAAGTGGAAGTCCTTTGGCCACATCATGAGGAGACAGGAAAGCCTAGAGAAGACAATGATGCTGGGGAAAGTGGAAGGCAAAAGGAAGAGGGGCCGACCAAGGGCAAGGTGGATGGATGGCATCCTTGAAGTGACTGGACTGACCTTGAAGGAGCTGGGGGTGGTGACGGCCGACAGGGAGCTCTGGCGTGGGCTGGTCCATGAGGTCACGAAGAGTCGGAGACGACTGAACGAATGAACAACAACAACAACATTATTATTATTATTATTATTATTATTATTATTATTATTATTATTACACACATGGTTACAGCTTTGAAATCTACTTCATAAATTAAAGATAGCGATAACAATTACTGGCCATGCCTCTTGGATGCGGGACACCCATTCCATTCCGCAAAGGGGACCGGGCCAGGCTGGGCACGTGAGGAAGCTGGCCATCTTGGATACTGGGAATGGGATACATTAAGAAGTTGGCCATGTTATTGGATAATGCTTTTAACTAGGAGACTCAAATTGATATATGTTTTTATTGATATTGTTTTACTTGGTTTTATATTTCAATTGATTTTTTAAAATTGTATTTTATGTCTTTGATATTGACTGTAAACTGCTCCGAGTCGCTTGTGGGCTGAGAGGGGCGGTATATAAGTGTAGTAAATAGATAAATTACGTTGAATGTTGGTAGAATGAAGACTGGCACCCACCTTGTCCACCTTTTGCAGGGACCTAAAAACGTGGGTGTCCCACTGTGCCGATGACTTACCTACTTGCTTAGGCGATCCCTCGCAGTCCGAGGATGATGGTCCTCCAAGAGTGGTAACCTGGGGGTGGGCCTGGGGTGCACTCTCCCTTTCCCCTGTCCAGAAACTGTAGTTGAAATGTGCTTTTGTATGTTGTCGGCATTGAATTGCTGCCGTTGTAAGCCGCCCTGAGTCCCACCCACCCACCCCCCAAGTCCCTTCAGGGAGATAGAGGCAGAGTATGAAAATAAAGCTATTATTATTATTATTATTATTATTATTATTAAGGGAACATGGAGAGGGCAGCCATCTTGGATATTGGGAGAAGGGATTCATTAAGAACTTGGATATTGGGAGAATGAAAGATACATCTTGGATAATGGGAGGTGGAGCAGCATTCAGATGTCGGTCATCTTGGATATTGAGAGTGATACATTAAGAAGTCAGCCATCTCGGAGATTGGCATGAGGGATAGATTAAGAGTGCAGCCATCTTGGATATTGGGAAAGTGTGGCCATCTTAGATATTGAGAAGGAGGGATTCATTAGTAAGTTGGTCAACCTAGATATTAGTAGAAGGAAGAATTTATTGAGAAGTTGGCCATCTTGGTTATTGGGATTCATTAAGAAGTTGGCCATCTTGGATTTTGGGAAAGGGCAGCCATCTTGGATATTGGGAGAAGAAATATGGAGAGGGTGGCCATTTTGAATATTGAGAGAGGAAATGATGGATTAATAGCCTGGTTTTCCTCTCGTTCATCTGGCAGGTTACCTCTGAATGAACCTTGTGGAGAAGACCCCGTGAGAGCTTTGCCCCACGGATTCTGCCTTCAGACGGAAGAGAAGAGCCATTGCGCTGGCAAGAACAAGGAAGAAGTCGGAGAAAGACATATCACAGGCAACATAGCTGGAGGAAAGTGAGGATTGTGCTGTTAAAAGAAGGGCTTGGGAAAGAGACCAGAAGCCTACGGCAATACAAAGACCAAGGAAATCCTGTCCTGTTAAGGAGTTCATATCTGTGACCTTCTGGCATAATATTTGAACCATATATTTAAAAAATGGAAAATCTCAATCCCTGTTCCACATCACAAACAGGGGAGAAGCCACATAAGTGCATGGACTGTGGGAAATGTTTCACAGGGAAAAGTTCTCTTACTAAACATCAACAAATCCACACAGGAGAGAAACCGTATACATGCACGGAATGTGGAAAGGGCTTCAAGCAGAGTGGAGATCTCAATCGCCATCAAAGGACCCACACGGGGGAGAAGCCATATACGTGCAAGGAATGTGGAAAGAGCTTCAGTCAGAGTGGAGAACTGTCTTCCCACCAAAGGACCCACACGGGGGAGAAGCCACATCAGTGCGCGGAATGTGGAAAGAGCTTCACCCGGAGTGGAGATCTCCATCGCCATAAAAGGCTCCACACAGGGGAGAAGCCATATAAATGCATGGAATGCGGAAAGAGCTTCAATCAGAGTGGAGAACTGTGTTCCCACCAAAGGACGCACACAGGGGAGAAACCTTATCAATGCATGGAATGTGGGAAGAGTTTCAGTCGGAGTGACAGTCTGCGTTCCCATCAAAGGACCCACACGGAGAAGCCACATCAGTGCCTGGAATGTGGAAAGATCTTCAGTCTGAGTGAACACCTGCAATCTCATCAATGGACCCATGCAGCAGAGAAGCCACATCCGTGCATGGAATGTGGAAAGAGCTTCAGCCAGAGTGCAGAACTGCGCTCCCACCAAATGACCCACACAGGGGAGAGGCCGCATCAATGCACGGAATGTGGAAAGAGCTTCATTCGGAGTGGAGATCTGCGTCGCCATCAAAGGACCCACACAGGGGAGAAGCCACATCAATGCCTGGAATGTGGAAAGAGCTTCAGTCAGAGTGGACACCTGCATTCCCACGAATGGACCCACACGGGTGAGAAGCCATATCACTGCATGGAATGTGGAAAGAGCTTCAGTCTGATTGGACGTCTGCGCCGCCATCAAAGAACCCACACGGAGGAGAAGCCGTATCAATGCATGGAATGTGGCAAGAGCTTTAGTCAGAGTGATGATCTGCTTTCCCACCAAATCACCCACACGGGGGAGAAGCCGTATCAATGTATGCAGAGTGACAAGAGCTTTAGTCAGAGTGAAGATCTGCTTTCCCACCAAATCACCCACACGGAGGAGAAGCCACATCTATGCATGGAGTGTGGCAAGATCTTTAGTCAGAGTGAAGATCTGCTTTCCCACCAAAGGACCCACATGGAAGTAGCCACATCAGTGCATGGAATGTGAAAAGCGCTTCAGTCTGAGTGGAGCTCTGTATTCCCATCAAATGACCCACACAGGCGAAAAGCCATATCAATGCGTGGGATGTGGAAAGAGCCTCAGTCACAGTGGAGCTCTGGGTCACTATCAAAGGACCCCACGCGGATAGAGGAAGAGACCTGCCCTTGCGCTTCCTAGTTCTGCCGAAAAACATCCCTAGACATCCCGTGTCCCCTCCCTCCGCAGGCAGGCAGAGAATGAGAGAATGGAAGCAAGAGGAAGGCCGCCACCTTGCTCTTTCTCCGCCATGGACACCAGTCTGCGTGGCTGGCTTGACTGCTGCTGGGGGAAGGTCTCCTCCACAGAGGAGGACTCTTCTCAGTATTGCAGCCATTTTGAAGGGGTCAACCCAACCTCTTCCTCCTCAAGGAAAGTATCACAGACTTCTGGGATGATCTGTGAAGGCTCGCTGAAGTGAGAGCAGCTGAGGTCTCACGATAGATAACAGGGCTCTTTGGGAGCAGATACCGGCGTACCTTCGTTCTGCTGTCCTGGATCTGGACTCTGATGCCTCGGTTTCCGTTCTGGACCCTGGCCTTTCTCCCGCAACCCTGTTCTGGACTCTGTTGTATTCTGATTCATTGACTCTACATTCTGGACTGACTTGATTTATGTCCTTCCCTATCCGTCTTGACTTCGGAACTCTGGCCTTGGTTTGAAATCCTGCATTTTTGGTGGTTATTTTATGAACTCTGAGGGATGGACTCCTGGCACCTGACGGTTGGACTTGTAAGCTTGGCTGCTGCTTAGCCTTGCTCCAGATCTGGCCCCGTGTCGTGATCGTTCACGCCTTGCAACTGTCAGCTCACCAGTCATGACATGGAGCACATGACCAATGGCCGGTTCGAGGACACTTGAACAGCCATAAAAGTGAATGGCCCTGAGATGTGAGAAGGGGGCTCTGGTACGTGGGGAAGGCCAGGCATCAGTCACCATACGTTGTGGGTGATTTGTGGCATTGTAGCAAAGGCCCTACTTATTTGGGGGGCAGTAGTGCGAGGCACTTGTATGCCGAACAATAAAGATGTGTGGTACCTTCAGCCCTGGTGCGCCTTGGTGTATTCTTTCAAGAGAAGACTAAACCTATAGCAAGGCAGTCGGGGCAAAGGGCCCCTACACTCCGTCGTTCTCGGCTTATCTGCTTTATTTTATTTATTTATTTATTTATTTCAAAGTTTTCTATACCAAACTTCTCAACCTCATTGAGGGACTCAGCCCAGTTTCCAACCATAAAAACATATACACTCATTAAAATATCATATATCACAGCATTAATTGGACTCTCAACCTTGGTTTATATGCTGCCATTGTCTTGTTTTCGCTACACCTTCAAAAGTTTCAAGGCTTATTTATGTATTTATTTCTATGGCTTCAAACAAACAATGGCTTCAAACTACAAGAGAGGAGATTCCATCTTAACATGAGGAAGAACTTCCTGACTGTGAGAGCCGTTCAGCAGTGGAACTCTCTGCCCCGGAGGGAGTGTGGTGGAGGCTCCTTCTTTGGAAGCTTTTCCTGCATGGACTAGGTGGCCAAAGAAGGAGCCTCCACCACACTCCGGGGCAGAGAGTTCCACTGCTGAACGCTCTAACAGTCAGGAAGTTCTTCCTCATGTTCAGATGGAATCTCCTCTCTTGTAGTTTGAAGCCATTGTTCCTGCGTCCTAGTCTCCAGGGAAGCAGAAAACAAGCTTGCTCCCTCCTCCCTGTGGCTTCCTCTCACATATTTATACATGGCTATCATGTCTCCTCTCAGCCTTCTCTTCTTCGAGCTAAACATGCCCAGCTCCTTAAGCCGCTCCTCATAGGGCTTGTTCTCCAGACCCTTTATCATTTTAGTGCCCTCCTCTGGACACATTCCAGCTTGTCAATATCTCTCTTGAATTGTGGTGCCCAGAATTGGACACAATATTCCAGGTGTGGTCTAACCAAAGCGGAATAGAGCATGGGGAGCATGACTTCCCTCGATCTAGACACTAGGCTCCTATTGATGCAGGCCAAAATCCCATTGGCTTTTTTTGCCGCCACATCACATTCCTGGCTCATGTTTAACTTGTTGTCCACGAGGACTCCAAGATCTTTTTCACACGTACTGCTCTCGAGCCAGGCATTGTCCCCCATTCTGTATCTTTGCATTTCATTTTTCTGCCAAAGTGGAGTATCTTGCATTTGTCACTGTTGAACTTCATTTTGTTAGTTTTGGCCACTCTCTAATCTGTCAAGATCGTTTTGAATCCTGCTCCTGTCCTCTGGAGTATTGGCTATCCCTCCCAATTTGGTGTCGTCTGCAAACTTGATGATCCTGCCTTCTAACCCTTCATCCAAGTCATTAATAAAGATGTTGAACAGGACCGGGCCCAGGACGGAACCCTGCGGCACTCCACTTGCTCACTTCTTTCCAAGATGAAGAGGAAGCATTAGTGAGCACTCTCTGTGTTCGTCCACTTAACCAATTACAGATCCACCTCACCGTAGTTTTGCCTCGCCCACATTGGACTAGTTTCCTTGCCAGAAGGTCAATAGATTCATAGATCCTTATAGATTCATAGATTTGGAAGAGGCCACATGGGCCACCTCGTCCATGCAGGAAAAGCACAATCAAAGTATCCCCAACAGCTGGCCATCCAACCTCTGCTTCAAAGTTTCCAAGGAAAGAGCCTCCCCAGGCTCCGAGGCAGGGAGTTCCACCGCTGTACAGCTCTTCTTACAGCCGGGAAGCTCCTCCTAATGTTCAGCCTGTTGTCGCTCTGTGGTTTCCGCAGTCACAACGGCCAGGTGCTGATGGGTTCACGGATGAGTTAGATTCAGGAAGGATTGTGGGCTTTCCTGGGATTCAAAGTGATGCAGGCCAAGGGAATGGAATTGCCCCAGAAAGTGATGCAGGCCAAGAGAATGCCATTGCCCCTGAGCTCCAAGGTCAGTCACAGGAATCAGAAACCTGGGAGCCGCCCATTGGACTATTTGAAACTTCCGAACAGTCTTCAAAGGCAGCCCCACGCAGAGCGCATTGCAGTAATCTATTCTCGATGCAACAAGAGCGTGAATCACCGCCTGACTTCCCAAATGACATGTCTAGACCAGGAACAAAAATCATAGTGTTCCATAGTGTTATCCACGGTTTCTTTTATCCACATCTGGCAAAGTCTGTCCTCTCTAGAGATGTTCTAGGTCCTCCAGTGTGCCTCGAAAGGACTAGTCTTGGGCTAGAAGTCCTTCATTTCAACAGAATGAATATGCACTAGTATCCAGAGTGTTGGGTATATATACAAACTGCAAGAACATACCCCGTTTTCGATACAGGGGTCATCCTGTATTCCAAACTCTGAACAATATCCCACAGACTGCTCATCCAAGCATTTTGGCCAAGGGATCCTCAGGCTATACAACATTCGGCCAGTTTCCAATCTCCCCTTTTTGGGCAAAGTCTTGGAACGTGTGGTTGCCTCGCAGCTCCAGGGGTTCTTGGACGAAACTGACTATCTGGATCCGTCGCAGTCGGGTTTCAGACCGGAACATGGAACTGAGACAGCCATGGTCGCCTTAGTGCACTGGTTCTCAACATGTGGGTCCCCAGATGTTTTGGCCTTCAACTCCCAGAAATCCTTACAGCAGGTAACCTGGCTGGGATTTCTGGGAGTTGTAGGCCAAAACACCTGGGGACCCGCAGGTTGAGAACCACCGCCTTAGTGGATTATCTCCGCAGAGAGCTCGACAGGGGGAGTGTGTCCCTGTTGGTCCTCCTGGACCTCTCAGAGGCCTTCGATACCGTAGACCACGATATCCTTCTGGGGCGCCTTGCGGGGATGGGTCTCGGAGGTCCTGTTCTGCAGTGGCTCCAGTCCTTCCTGGAGGGTCGTACCCAGAAGGTGTTGCTGGGGGACTCCTGCTCGGACCCACAACCATTGTCTTGTGGGGTTCCTCAGGGTTCAATATTGTCTCCCTTGTTGTTTAACATCTACGTGAAGCCGCTGGGTGAGATCATCCAGAGTTTTGGAGTCTGGTGCAATCTGTACGCAGATGATATCCAACTCTATCACTCATTTCTACCAGATGCGAAGGAGGCTGCCCAAGTCCTGAACCAGTGCCTGGCCACTGTGACAGTCTGAATGAGGACAAGACAGAGGTCCCACCTTTCTCTACCCCAAGGGAGGCTCATGTATAAACATGTGAGAGGAAGCCACAGGGAGGAGGAGGAGGGAGCAAGCTTGCTTTCTGCTTCCTTGGAGACTAGGACGCAATGGAGGAATGGCTTCAAACTACAAGAGAGGAGATTCCACCTGAACATGAGGAAGAACTTCCTGACTGTGAGAGCTGTTCAGCAGTGGAACTCTCTGCCCCAGAGTGTGGTGGAGGCTCCTTCTTTGGAGGCGTTTAAACAGAGGCTGGATGGCCATCTGTCAGGGGTGCTTTGAATGCAATATTCCTGCTTCTTGGCAGGGGGTTGGACTGGATGGCCCAGGAGGTCTCTTCCAACTCTTTGATTCTATGATTCAAGGCAGCTCACATATTGCAATTATTCAATGCCCCTAAACATACATTAATCTTAAAATCCATGGAATTAAAATTAATACATATTAAAAAAAATTAAAATGACATTCAATATTGAAATCACACCATCCAAAAATCATAGTCTGAGGGAGTTCCGGAGTCATTGCACATAGTCCAATTATATTATATTATTGCACTGCTTCTCCGAAAGCCTGGTCCCAGAGCCAGGTTTTCACTCTCCTTCTGAAGGCTCGGAGGGAGGGGGCTGATGTAGTGCCACTAGGGAGGGAGTTCCAGAGCCGAGGGGCCACCACTGAGAAGGAAGGCCCTGTCCCTCGTCCCCAAAAGTTGCACCAGCAAAGAAGGTGGGATCAAGGGCGGGGCCTCCCCAGAAGATCTTGTTTATTTGTTTGTTTATTGGAAACATGTATATTCCGCCCTTCCCACCCTGAAGGGAGCTCAGGGCGGAGCACAGCATAACAGATGGCAAGCATTCCATGCCGGAAGATAAAATAACTATCAATATACACAAATACTAAAAACAGTTCCATCTACCGTATTTTCCAGCGTACAAGACGACTGGGCGTATAAGGCGACCCCCAATTTTTCAATTTAAAATATAGGGCTTAGGATATACCAGCCCTATAAGACTACCCTCTTGCCAGCCTCTCTTTATATCTACATCTCCCAGGTCTGGAGAGCACGGAACCACGGCACAGAAAGTGGTGCCTAACGGCATGAGTTCTACAGTATTTTCCTTCTCTGTGTTTTGCACCACTCCTCCCACCAGAGGTCTTGCTGGCTGAGGCCTCTGGGGAGCTGTAGTCATTCTCAGGTGGAAGAGGCCCCTCACAGCCCACTGCTCTGGCACCAAAGAGAGAGAGGGAGGGAGGGAGGGAGGGAGGGTGCAGGTTCCCCTTTCCTTCCTTGGTGAAGGTGCGTGTGGTAAAGCACCCACTGCCACCTAATCTATGAGGGAAGCCGGGCAACGATCAATATCAGCCTAGGAGCTATTTTATAAAAGAACTGTTAATGACAGAAGGTTTTATTCAGTGGGTAGCGTAGCATTTACTATCTCTGGCTGACTGCACTATTGCAAGCTGTTCAACTTAGAAGAAACTGTATCAGGCAGGACTTGAAGAGAACAGTAACAAGTTTATTTTAACAGCAGTATAATAAGTTTAACTGTTTCTTCAAAAGAGGCACAAATCTTGATGGATACATTGGAAAGGTTTCATGAGTAAACTCAGGCAAACACTTCATAAGGTTTCACAGCTGGCACAACAGGCTTAAACCCAGCCAAACCTTGATTCTTAATTCAGAATCAACAACCCCCTGTACCGGGTCCTTCTCTGCAACCACTTTGGTCACCAATTGATTCCCTGAATCTCCAAGAGATTCAGTTTTTCCCTATAGCACACTGGCTACAGACACATTCCCTGAATCTCCACCTAGAGACTCAGTCCTCTCAGTAGCTCACCGGCTTACTGACTGACTTTTTAAAACAGCTGCCTCGTGAAGAGCCAGTTGGCTCCGCCCCTGTTGCTATGGCA